CCGAAAGCGGCCTCAATATGTCGAATACGACGAAAAAACCTCCAGAAATCGCCGCCATGCGAACTCCGCCACTGGGCCGCCATGCGAATTCCGCCACGCAGACTTTAGGTATAGCTCCCTGTGGGGACTCGAAACGCCGTACTCAGTGGTGGATGACGCATGCAGGCGGTTCCACTGGAGCCTTCGGTGGAGCCCCCTTTATGGGGCCACGAAGCGCTGTACTGGGTGGTGGATGACGCATGCGGGCGGTCCCACTGAGGCCTTCGGTGGAACCCTCTATGGGGCCACGAAACGCTTGACTGGGTGGTGGGTGACGCATGCGGGCGGTCCCACTGAAGCCTTCGGAGGAGCTCCCTATGGGGCCGCGAAGCGCTGTACTGGGTGGTGCGGGCGGTCCCACTGGGGCCTTCGGTGGAACCCCCTTATGGGGCCACGAAATGCTGTACTGGGTGGTGGATGACGCATGCGGGCGGTCCCACAGGGGCCTTCGGTGGAACCCCCTCATGGGGTCACGAAACGCTGTACTGGGTGGTGGATGGCGCATGCGGGCGATCCCACTGGGGCCGTGGGTGGAACTCCCTATGGGGTCACGAAACGCTGTACTGGGTGGTGGATGCCGCATGCGGGCGGTCCCACCGGGGCGTGCGTAAAAAACGACCATCCGTCGATATGATGAGGTAATGGCGTTCTGCATTAGAAGTACTGATCGTGCGTGTCGTACGAAACGTGTGGGGGGTGTGCCGCGAAACGGGCGCGGGGCCAGAATACGCTCAAACAGGGTCCTCCTGGAACGGCGGAGTGTCCATTATCTTCGCCCGCGCGTGAGGCCACTGTATCGTTTCCATTATTTTCGCCCTACGCTCAAACAGGGTCCTCCTGGAACGGCGGAGTGTCCATTATCTTCGCCCGCGCGTGAGGCCACTGCATCGTTTCCTTTATCTTCGCCCGCGCGTGAGGCCACATTCTCGGTCCCATGAGATTCGCCCGCACGTGGGGCCACATTTTCGCTTGCATCTGTTACAGCCCAAAGATCGTGTTCGCCCTCCCCCCCCTCCCCCCCATGGAGCAAAGCTGGGTGGAGGCGGAAGCGCCGACCTGCCCGGCCCACGAGTCAGCTTTGCACTTCGGGGGGGAGGGGGGGGAGGGAAAGAGGGAGGGAGGGAGGGAGGGAAGGTGGAGGAGGCAGGAGGAGGAGGGGAGGAGGAGGAGGAGGAGGACGACGACAACGACGAGGAGGAGGACGAGGAGGGAGGAACAGCTTTGCACTTCGGGGGGGAGGGGGGGGAGGGAAAGGGGGAGGGAAGGGGGAGGGAAGGGGGGAGGGAGGCAGTGGGGGAGGAGGGGGGAGGAAGAGGAGGGTGAAGGGGAGGAGGAGGAATGAGGAAGGAGGAATGAGGAATGAGGAATGAGGAATGAGGAATGAGGAATGAGGAATCAGGAGGAGGAGGACGAAGAGGAGGAGGAGGAGGAGAAGGAGGAGGAGGAGGAGAAAGGAGGAACAACTCTGCACTTCGGAGGGGAAGGGGGGGAAGGGAAGGAAGGAGGAAGGGAGGGAGGAGGGAGGAAAAGGAGGAATGAGGAGGATGGAGGAGGAGGAGGGGCGACGAGGAGAAGGAACGAGGATGATTTTCAAATGGAGTGCGAAGGAGTGCCTCTGGGGAGTATCTCCAGAGGCTTTCGGGCGGAGTGCGGACGACTGCGGAGGATTTCAAATTCGAGCGGAGGCCTCTGGGGAGCACCTCCAGAGGCCTCCAGGAGGAGTGCGGACGAATGCGGAGGATTTCAAATTCAAGCGGAGGCCTCTGGGGAGTGCCTCCGGAGGCTTTCGGGCGGAGTGCGGACGAATGCGGAGGATGTCAAATTCCAGCGGAGGCCTCTGGACTGCCTCCCAGAGGCTTCCGGGAGGAGTGCGGACGAGTGTGGAGGATATCAAATTCGAGCGGAGGCGTCTGGGGACTAGTGCTGGAGGCCTCCGGCGGGAGGATTGCGGACGAGTGCGGACGATTTTGAATTGGAGGCTGGAGGATGGGAGGGTGGGGCGGCGGGCGAGGGAGGGGGGAGGGATAGGCCCGGCGACAAAGAAGCGACCACATCTTCTTTGCGAGACCTTGCGTGCACAGGCTGAGATATGTCTTGGGCAGGCCCAGTGAGGCAGACATGAAAACATCTCCCTGGCGAAGACGTGCGTGCAGAGGCTGTGATATGTTTTGCCAGCCGCGGTGAGGGAGACTTCAAACCATCTTCCTTGCCAAGATGTGCGTGCAAAGGCTGTGATGCGATGATGTTGGCATGTGAATCGAACGATGTCGTGCGTGCGATTGCTGTGCGATGATCTGGTTGTGATGTGGAGGCAACTGTGAACCGAACGATGTCGTGCGTGCGATGGCTTTGCGATGATCTGGTTGTCATGTGGAGGCAACTGTGAGGCGTCTGGCGCGCTCCGCGTGCCACGGTCGTTTATTTCGCACACACCGGCATTGGGGCCTTCGGTGGAGCCCCCTATGTGGCCACGAAGCGCTGTACTGGGTGGTGGATGACGCATGCGGGCGGTCCCACGGGGGACTTCGGTGGAGCCCTCTATGGGGCCACGAAACGCTGTACTGGGTGGTGGATGACGCATGCGGGCGGTCCCACTGGAGCCTTCGGTGGAGCCCCTTATAGAGCCACGAAATGCTGTGCTCGGTGGTGGATGACGCATGCGGGCGATCCCACTGGGGCCTTCGGTGGAGCTCCCTGTGGGGCCACGAAACGCTGCACTGGATATGTGAAAAGCAGGGAGGAGGGAGCAAGGGGAGGAGGGAGGAGGGGGAGGAAGGAGGAGAACGCGGGGACCGTCTCTTCAAAACGAGGACCCAACACCACAGGATGGTTGGGAAAAACGAGCGCTTCTCCTGGGACGAGTTTGTCGTCCCAGATTCGCATGTGACGGGACCAAAACCCGAAAAAGGGCCCTGACGAAAAAATATTCGGAGATCCGGGGATGGGTGAGGGGGTCCCCAGAACAGTGATCCTGTTGTGCTGCATCTTGGTTGGACCTTGTCTGTCCCGTCGCGCTGCGAGAAGGATTGGGGGCACGACTTGTCTGCTTTTGTCATCGCCTGAATTTGCATTATAATGTCAAGCATCGCTCCACACTTCGTAAAATGTGGCCGCAGCTGTCTAAATAGGAGCGAAACGCCTCTGCATTGAGCAAACCCCGAAGCTTTAAAATCACGTCGAATCCGTATATCCGAAGCAAAAACAATTCGCCTGCCCAACGGGCCGGAGGCGTGCTAAGATTTCCAGTAACTGCGTACACTAATTTCTACTTCGCGCGCGCGGAGCGGCCCCTGGGGGTCCCCGGACGAAAAGTATCCTGGGCGGTCCCCGGCCGGGTCGGGTCAGAGATCCCTTCTCTCCTGGGTGCCGCCCTCGAGGCCCTCCAGGGAGCCCCAAAAAGAGCCAAGAAGCCCCCAAGAGGCCCCCAAGATGGAACAGGAGGGCTCCGAGATGCCACAAGGTCGCTCCAAGATGCCCAAGATTGCCCCCAGACGCCCCAAGAGGCCTCCAAGAGCACTCTCAAGAGGACCCCAAGAAGTAAAAATGAATTGATTGTCCTTAGGTTTTGGACAGATTTGGGAGTTTCCCCCTCATCGGCTTCCCGACGCCTCAAGACGGCCCCAGAGGTCCCCAAGATGGCCCAAAAAGAACCCAAGAGGGCCCCAAGAGAGCCCCAAGACGGTCCAAGAGACTCCAGGACCACCCAAGACGAATCCAAGACGGCCCAAGAAGGCCCCAAGAGAGACCCCAGATGGGGAACACGAAACAAGATTTTGAGCCCTCGGCCATGAGGATCCCCCCAGGAGGTCCCCGGAGGTCCCTAAGAGGCCCCCGACAGGCGGTCAGAAGGCCGCCAAGAGGCCCCCAACAACCCCAAACAAGCTCCAGGCTAAGACGTCCCCGAAAGCCTCGGAGAACTCCCAAGAGCTTCTTGCGCACTGCCCCCCAGAAGCTCACGACAACGCTCCGAGGAGACCCCAAGAAGCATCTCTGAGGAGTCTGACCCACAACGCACGCACATGACAATCGGCATCACGACAAGATGAGAGCCGAAGTTCCCATTCAAAACCCGCCACCCTCCGACACGAGGGTTCCGTCATCACATCAGATTTCTCCTCCTCTCACTTGAACGCCCCCCAAGCGAGCTTCCGAAGGCAACAAGCCCCCACAAAACACCAGAAGCCCCACAGTGCTGCAAACACCCAGAAACCACGTAAGAAACCAACGAACCTCCGACATCTTCTCCACAATGTCCAAACGACCGCCACGCGGCTGCTCCACGGGAGCTGCCTCAACCCCAGACCTGTCGAAAGCAATGTCTCACAGACACACACGCCGACCCTGCAGCTCCGCACTGCCAACGACCACTCGGCCAGCCGACACAGCAGTGCGCAAAAATGGGCCGGCGAAATGAGCGAAGCGATTCAGTAAACATCAACTTTCGACGGCCCGCGCAGATTTCCTGGATCTGCGCTGAAACCCCCTTCTGGCGCGCGGAGGGCGAAAGGGGCGGTACCTGAGGCGCCGCCAGGGGGCCTCGCGCCGATCCCAAGGAATCCGCGCGAAAATTTATGTTTATGCAGTTTGGTCTTCTTGAATGAAAATCGCGCCGAAACTGCGTCGAGGTGGCGCGCATCTGCGTCCAGGTGGCGCGCAGAAGGGGGCAGGGGGAGGGGAGAAAGCTTCTTAGAAGGAGACTGCTTCTTAGGAGGCGCGGGCACTACATCTGCAGACAAGGCCCGCGCCTTCTCAGAAGCAGCCTCAAGCCTTCCCCCCTCCCCCCCAACTGACGGCAGCACAGCCCACCCCCACCCCCAGCCAGGACCGCCATTCCCGACCTGGTGATCCCAGGGGCCCTGGCTGGGGATGGGGGTGGTTTTGGAGTGAGTGTGTGTGTGTGTGTCTGGGGGGCCGCGGAGCTGCCGCGGCGAGCGCACACCCGCAGCCGCCGAGGCGCGCGCCCCCCGCGTGGTAGTGGGACTCCAGCACGGTCACCGACCTGCCGGCGGCGGCGAGAGCGCCCGCGCTGGGCGAGACCGCCGTGCCTCCCGGAAGCCTAGCCTCTGCTCCGATCGCCTCCCCCCCCCCGCCATCGCCTCCCCATCTGCCTCCCCTCGCCTCCCCCTCCTCCTTCCCCCGCCTCCCCCTCCCCGCCCCCCCCCCCTTCCTCGCCCCCCCACCCTCGTCTCCCCCCCGCTTCGCCACCCCTCCCTCTCCGTCCTCCCCGCTCCTCTCCTCCCCTGGCGCCTCCGGTGAGCCTCGCCTCCTTGAGCGGACTATGCCCCTTACCGCCTCCTCATTCATCCCTCCTTCCTCCTGCCTCCCCCAGTCTCTTCCCGACGGAACCGAACCACGAAAGCCGCAGCGAGGCACTAGATTAAAAAGAAGAGGAGGAGGAGCAGGAGGAGGAGGAGGAGGAGCAGGAGGAGGAGCAGGAGGAGGAGGAGGAAGAGGAGGAGGAGGAGGAGGGGGCCGGACTCACCCCGCTGGCCGCCGCTGCGCGATGGCGGCACGGCGGGCGGCATCAGCCAGGAGGAGCACGAGGAGTTTCGGTTGCTCCGGCTTCGAGACCTACGGGTACGTGAACGTGACGGGCCCGACGGGGCCCAGGCCGCTGCGAGCTGCTTCGCGCAGGACCGGCTACAAAATGAGGAAGGCAGGGACGTCAGCTGGAGTAATCTATCACTCTTGGTCACCGCCATGACGAACGTGCGAGCTGATGGCGAGCAGACGTACGTGCCTAAGTGCGAGAAGCACGAAAGCAAGCACGACGATTAAAACACCAAGTACGACATCAGGCACGACAGGGCCGAGCAGCCCGAGGGGATAACCAAATACATCGTCGTGGAGATACTGGTGTACCACGGCAAAGCCGCCTACGACAAGGACGACTACGACGCCTACAGCGGCTACGACGAATACAACGGATACGACGACGACTACGCCGCATCGCCGCATACGGCTTCCCCACCCTGCCACCCACCGTGCCGGCAGAGTTTCGAGAACCACCAGCGGAACTTCGAGGGCCACGAACAGAGCTACGACGGCGCGAGGCAGAGCTGCGGCGGCAAGAAGCAGGGCTTCGAGGACCACTTGCAGAGCCACCAGGGACACCAGCAGAGCTTCGAGAGCCTCCAGCGGAGCTGCGAGGCACACCAGCAGAGCTTCGAGGGCCACCCGCAGCACTTCGAGGGCACCCGGGAGGGCTCCGAGGGCCACCAGCAAAGCTTCGAATGCAAGCAGCAGAGCCTCAAGACCCACTGACTGAGCTTCGAGAGCCACCGGCAGAGCTACGACGGCAAGAGGCAGAGCTTCGAGGGCCACCAGCTGAGTTACAAGAGCCACCAGCTGAGCCTGGAGAGCCACCAGCTGAGCTACGAGGACCACCACAAGAGCTACGGCGGCAAGAAGCAGAGCGTCGAGAGCCACCAGCAGGGCCACGGGGAACACCAGCAGGGCTTCGAGAGCCACCGGCGGAGCTGCGAGGCACACCAGCAGAGCTTCGAGGGCCACCCGCAGCACTGCGAGGGCACCCGGGAGGGCTCCGAGGGCCGCCGGCAGAGCTCGGAGGAAGGCCACGCAGAGCGTGCGGAGCTGCGAGGGCCCCGCGCTGAGCTGCGAGGGCCGCCAGCAGAGCGCCGACGGCCACCAGCAGAGCTTCGGGGGACCACCCGGCAGAGCCTCTTGGACGACCAGCGGAGCTGCGACGGCCACGCGAGGAGCTCCGAGCGCCACGAGCAGAGCTGCGAGGGCCGCCCGCCCATCAAGAGGGCAACAAGCGGAGCTTCGGCCACCGGCCGAGCCACGACAGCCGCAGGCGGAGCCTCGAGTCACCAGCAGGACTACGAGGGCCGCGGACGAAGCTACGCGAGTGATTGGCGGAACCAACAGGCCAGGAGCTGAGCCACGAGGGCCACCCGCTAAGCCTCGAGAGCCGTCACGGGAGCTACGAGGGCCACCAGACGAGCCGCGAGGGCAAGAAGCAGAGCTACAGGGACCACACCAGGAGCCACGAGAGCCACTGGCAGAGCTTCTAGTGGCACCAGCAGAGCTACACGGGCAACCCGAAGGGCCACCAGCAGAGCTAGAAGGACTTCCCGCAGAGCTACGACTGCCACAGGCAGACCTTCGAGGGCAAACAGTGCGGCTGGTCGGACTCCGCGCGAAACCAAGCCTGAACGGCCAGAAGGGGGTGATGGGCCCCTTCAACGCGGACGCTGCTCGATGGGTGTTCCACGGAGGGTCTATCGACAGTCACGTCAAGGCGAGCAACCCTGAGATGGTTGGCGAGCGACCTAGGAAGCAGCTCGCCTTCGAGTTCCAGGCCTAAGCCCGCGCCTTCCAGTACGGCGACCTGCTGCTCAATGGTTTCGTTGTCGAGAAGATGTACGATCTGGCAGCCGTCGGGGCGCAGCCTGCCGTCGCCGCCTTCCTCGAACTGCTGCTCAACGACGAGGCGACACTCGACAAGTGCGACGGCGATGCCGGCCTACCTGAAGCCGCAGACTACCACCGTGAAGACTCGTGTACCAGAAGTACATGAATTCCATGGCCCGTCTACAGCTCTACAAACAATAGTACGACACGTACAACGTTTACATGCAAGATACGACGTCTTCGGCATTCGCGCTGCAGTTCCGCTGAGCGGCCTGGCCGCACTCCCCCTACTTCCTCTTCCCTTTCCTCTCTACGCCTTGAGTCGCGGGATGAAGGGCGGACAGGTGGCCTCCCCAGGGAGGGAGGGAGGGAGGGAGGGAGGGAGGGAGGGAGGGAGGGAGGGGGAGGGAGGGAGGGAGGAGGAGGAGGAGGAGGAGGAGGACGAGGAAAAGGAGGAGGATGAGCCCCCCACCCCACCCCTGAAACGGAAACAGTGAGCCCCAGTGGTCCGTGGGGGCCCGCGCCCCGCGCGCGCGGCGCGCCCGTCGGCGCGCGAGGTGCTGGCGCGGCGCTGGGAACGCGTGGAGGCGCGCTGCGGCAGGAGGAGGAGGAGGAGGAGGAGGAGGAGGGCGGAGGAGGGAGGAGGAGGGGAGGAGGAGAGGCGGGAGGGGAGGGAGGGAGGAGGGAGGAAAAAAAGAGAAAGGGAGGGAGGAGGAGGGAGGAGGAGGAGGAGGAGGAGGAGGAGGAGCAGGAGAGGAGGAGGAGGAGGGGGAGGAGGGAAGAGGAGGAGGAGGAGGAGGAGGAGGAGGAGGAGGAGGGAGGGAGGGAGGGAGGGAAGGAGGGAGGAGGGAGGAGGAGGAGGAAGCGAAGGAGGAAAACGAGGAGGAAAACGAGGAAAACATAGGCACTGCGAGAGCTGGTTCAATACCTAGCCCCTCCTCGCCCTCCTCCCTGCCTCGCCTCCCTCTGCTCCAGCACGGTCGCCGACCTGCCGGCGGCCGCGAGGACGCCCGCGCAGGTGAGGCCACCGAGCCTGGGAAGGGGGGGGTGGTATCAGGACACCCTCGCGTCGCGAAAAAGACACAACAAAGGCTTTTGACACATTTCGGCCTCTGGGGGCCCTCGCTGGGCCCAAGGACAGTCAACAAAATTACCTGGGATGAACAACCAGCCCTGGGGAAGGGTGGACGACACTACACTACAGAAGCAAACGGCGATTGGCAGGACGAGTAGCAGCACAATCACACCACAGATGGGCCAGACTCGCTGCAGCCAAAAGAGCCGGAGGTCCACGACGCCTGACCAGCGAAGTGCAAACATGGCGGGCAACGCAAGCGGTGGTGCGACGACATATCACAAGTCATACACAGTACAAGTTTCATTGCACTGGCCTTGCAGACGTGATGCAGCGGATTTCTACGTGGACTTCTGCGTGGATTTTTGCCCGAATTGTTTTAGTCTTCATTCCTGGCCAAAAGAAATCCGCGCGAAATTCACCTCGAAATCTGGAACGAAATTCTCCAGGATAATCGGGGCCCGTCCCATGGTTTTCCGACCGAAATCCACTCTGCGATGTGGCCGCCATGACCAGTACAATTGGGGGTGATACCATACAGTGTTTGGATTATGCCTGCAATCAGGTACTACGGGACAGGTTCGGAACACGCCTTCCTCCAGCACATGCAGTACAGTGGAGGCACATGCCAAGAAACACCCTGCTTGTCTCCAGGCTGCCCTGGGTTTCTTCGGTTGCGATGGCTTTGCGATGGAAGGCGTGACGTTCCCACCCCAAAAATCGATGGACGTCCTGGGATCTCAGGGTTGGGTTACTGAGGGAAGGTTTTCCGTGGTCGAGCCCCTACTGTACATGGGCCCCGGCCCAACCGCGCTTCCCATGAGGGGACCACTGGCTGGCCAGCCGTCGGACTAGGCGCGCTCGGCTTCGCTCTGCTCCAGCCTCTCTTCCTCCTCCTCCTCCTCCTCCTCCTCCTCCTCCTCCTCCTCCTCCTCATCATCATCATCATCATCATCATCATCATCATCATCATCATCAGCATCAGCATCAGCAGCAGCAGCATCAGCATCAGCGTCGGCATCATCATCATTATCATCATCATCATCATCATCATCATCATCATCATCATCATCATCATCATCATCATCATCATCATCATCATCAACATCACCATCAGCATCATCATCATCATCATCATAATCAGCATCATCATCAGCATCATCATCATCATCATCATCATCATCATCATCATCATCATCCTTATCATCACCATCACCACCACCATCATCACCACCACCACCATCATCATCATCATCATCATCAGCATCATCCTCATCCACATCCTCATCCTCATCCTCATCATAATAATCATCATCATCGTCATCATCGTGACCACCACCACCACCACCACCACTTCCATCACCACCACCATCAGAACCATCACCCACCACCATCACCACCACCATCGTCATCATCATCATCCTCATCATCGTCCTCATCCACATCCTCATCCTCATCCGCATCCTCACCATCACCACAACCACCCTGATCATCATCAGGACCATCATCATAATCCTCATCAGAATCATCCGTATCCTCATCATGTATCGTCACCACCACCACCATCATCATCATCATCATCATCATCACCCGCCACCACCATCCAGCAGCATCAACATAATTATCAGCATCGTCACCACCACCACCACCACCACCACCATCATCACCCACCACCACCATCACCATCATCAGTAGCATCATCAGTACCAGCATTATCATCATCATCATCATCATCATCATCATCAACAACAACAGCAACAACAACAACAACAACAACAACAACAACAACAACAACAACAGTATCGTCACCACCATCGTCACCAGCACCGCCACCGTCCTTTTTTCCACGTCTTTCTCCTCCCTGCATCCCTCCATCCCTCCCTCCCTCTCTCCTCCCTGCTGCTGCCACCCCCTCCCTCTTCGGCCCCTATCCCTCCTCTTCTCGCCCCTCTCTCTTTCTCAGGCCTTTTATTTCCGCTTCCCCATCCAGTCACTTGCCGAGCATATCCATATTAGTGCAACATACAAGCATGCTTTGTACACCCGCCTCAGGCTCGCCTGGCAACGGCTATGCCGCGCTAGGGTCGCCGAAAAGCAGTTGACTGCGCAATTTCCCTTGGTCTCCTATGTGGTCTAGGACTGAATCTGCCCACTCTTTCGGGCACCCCTGGACCAGTCCGTCTCCAGCGTTTCGGCGTGCGGTTGGCTATCCTCCTCAGGACCTGCCACAACCAATCACACGGGGCAGGCCGACGCTGTCACGAACGACACCATTGTTTCCGACTGTGCGAAAACACCACGCGTACACTCTTGAATGCAAAGGTACACTGTGTCTGGCTGTATTCTGGGACTCCCTCGTACACACCAAAATTGCCAGAAGATGTCAAGCCAGGCTCTGAAAACCTGCTGTTTTGGCCTTCGGAGAAGGGAGGAAACAACTCATCCTCCATCCTCCCTTCTCCTCCTTCTCAGGCATCCAACGCCGTGATTTTTCACTATGTGGCTCCAAGAGGTCTGGACACCGTCCCAAAGACAAGAATTTGATCCTGGGTCTTGTTGTTACGGCCCCAGGGCCCAGTGAGGGCCCCTGGAGACCGAAAACTGCCAATGAATCTGGCGCGACCCCAATCAGGGAAAAGCTTCCTTTTGCATGGGTGCATTGCTTGGCGTCGCTTGGCATTGCTTGGCATTGCTTGGCGTTGCTTGACATTGTTTGGCGTTGCTTGGCAGAGCTTGTCATTGCTTGGCATTGTTTGGCATTGCTTGGCGTTGCTTGACATTGCTTAGCATTAATTGGAATTAATTGGCGCTACTTGGCATTGCGTGGCAATGATTTGCATGGATAGGCATTATGTTGCACTGCTTGGCGTTGCTTGGCGCTGCTTGACAAGTCCCTGCTGGGCCAAGAAACCCGAAGAATAAGACCCGGGAACCCAAGGAACCTGGACAAGACAGGGAAACCTGGGGAAACCGAAGAACAAATCTGGGGGAGCCCGAGAAACCCGAACAAGGAACAAGACCAGGGACCCCCCCAGGAAAAACCAAGCGAAGAACAAGACAAGGGAGCCCGAATAAGGAAACACCAGGAAGCCCGAGGAAGGCAGGCAAAAAAACAAGACCGGGAACCACTCCTCCTCCTCCTCCTCCTCCTCCTCCTCCTCCTCCTCCTGCTCCTCCTCCTCCTCCTCCTCCTCCTCCCTCCTCCTCCTCCTCCCTCCTCCCCCCCCCCTCCTCCTCCTCCTCCTCCTCCTCCTCCTCCTCCTTGCAAAGAAACACGACCGGGGACCTTCGAGGAATCTCCGGCGCGACCGAGTCCCGCACGCATCCGTTTCTCCATGAGCAGGTAAGAGCCCCCAAGGCAAAGCCTGACTGGGGAAAACCCTTTGGATTTTTCGGCGCTACTTCGTCAAGACGCGAGGATGTCAGGGCCCCTTGTCGAGAGCATTGTGTTATTCGCCGCGATGACGGGCGTTATAGAGGGGAAGGGGGGTAACGCCCCCCACCCCCCCACCCCGCCGCAGTGGTCCGCACCACAAGCTGTGGTGCCAGACGCACTGCGGCAGTGCAGGGGACGCACTGAGGCAGGAGAGTTACGTCATGGCAGGCGGGGAGGGGGGGGGCATAGCGCGCGTTGTGGCTCCGAGGGTACAGAACCCTCTCCTCCTCCCTCCTCCCTCCCTACGGGACGTGAAAACGACCACAGCCACTGCTTTTCTTTTGTTGCCGCCTTCCAGCCAGCAGAAACGAAGCAGTGGTTGTGGTCATTTTCGTTGAGCTTGGCACCAGGGAAATGACCACAACCACTGCTTCTTTTTCGGCTGGCCGAAGGCGGCGCAAACGAGAAGCAGTGCCTGTGGTCATCTTCCCGTCCCGCACTCCCTCCCGCCCTCCCTCCTTCCTCCCAGGCCGGAGCGGCGCCCGCTGCCGATCACGACGACGTCGGACTCGTGCTCCTGCGGGGGACGCCGCTGGACAGGGGGAGAGCGCGGAGTCACGAGAGCAAAATGAGGCACCACCGCGCCGCGCCAGAGCCTTCCAGAACGCTTTCGAGTTAGGTCGGGCATGTCCCCCTACAGGCGGATCTTGGAGGAAACATTGAGGATACCCCAAGAATACCCCAAAATAGTCAAAAGATAATCGACAAATCGTCCCCAGACTATTTTCCATCATTTCTGCACGTTCCTCCTGTAGAGGGACGCCCGACCTAACTTTCGAGCGATGCATCCCGATCCCAGGCCTGCCCGAAGAAGGCTCCAGCGCCTGCCTGCCGAGATTGCCTGGTGGCCTCGATCCCACCGCTTTGTCCAGAGAGGTGGGCCCCCAGTCGAGTCTTCCTCTCGGGGCCTTCCCCATGAATCATGAGGAATCCCTTGGATTTCCCTCGACAGTCCCAAGAGTCCCCCTCGGCAGCCCCGAGGATTTCAAGAGAAATCCTGACGGCTTCCTGGCGACTTCCTCGGCAGTCCTGAGAAGACCGCTGGAAATCCTGAGGCTGCGGAATAAGCAGTTCCATAGAATTTCTGTTGAATCCTGAGAATTTCGTTGCAGGGTAAAGATTTCCCTAGACATCCCAAGGAGTCCTCAGAACGCAGAAATCAAAGGATTACTCAAAAATCTCAAGGGTGCCCGTCGGAATCCTGAGTTCCCCAAGGATCGAAAATCCCATGGAAGCCCAGGATCACCCGGAACCCAGAAGATCTCCTCCGTACGTTTGAACAGTTCCTCCAAAACGATGAAGGAGTTCTGGGTGCCTCCGGATTCATAAAAAAAGATCTGCTGCATACTCTTCGGAGTCCTGGGGACTCTTCTCCGGGATCCCGAGGATCTCCTGAGAGACCCTGCAGGATTACATCGTGCGCACTTCTCGGATCGGGCGAAAGGGGGGGATAGCAAAGGGGGGGTTGAGAATCAGCTCACGTAGCTGATTTTCCCAGCGCCTCCCGGCGCTGGAGGCGGCTATGTATCGAGAAATGGCCCCCTCGGTGAGGCCGAAACCAGCTGCATGCAGCAAATTTCGTACCCCCCCCCTTTCCCAATCCCCCCCTTTCGCCCGGCCCGAACTTCGCGGCGACCCCTCGCCCCCATCCAGAGCAAAAGACCCTCGCCGATGGCGACACCGCCGTGCGCCCGTGCGCGCGCGAGCGCGCGAGCGCGCGCCCAGCCGCGCGAGGCGCCGCCCCCGCGGAGCCCACCGCCGGGCTCAGCCCGCCGCGGAGCGAGGCCCCTTCGCCGACGGAGCGCGGGCGGGGCCCCCCGCGCCCGAGGCCCCCCGGCCGCGGGCGCCGCCGCGGGTCGCGCGGCGGGGCGGCCGTCGGGGAGCGGCGAGGCTCCCGCGGCGCGCGGCGCCTCCCCCCCGCTTCCGGGGGGGGCGGCCGCGCGGGAGCAGTGGCGACAGAGTACGGGCACGTCCCCCTGCAGGCGGATGTGGGGCGAAAGATCAGAAATACCCAAAACATCTTCACCAGTAGCAAAGAATGCTCAAAAAGTAGTCTCCGCGCACGCGGGGCAGGCGCTGGGGGGGGGGGGGGCTGGGAGGAGTGCGCACGCCTCCTGGCAGATCCCTCCTCTCTCTCTCTCTCTCTCTCTCTCTCCCATCCCAGGGGGGGCGAGCCCCCGCGGAGTCCAACATGCATCGTCCTAGTGCGACTTCTCCAGGACCTTCAAAAGCAGATCCCTCCCCCCCTCCTCCCCCCCACCAAGGCTTCGGGCTGCGCAACACACAAGACAGCCCCCCAGGTGCGGCCCGGCTGGCTCAGGGGCGCCGCCGAAGGCGGCGCCAGGGTGCCAAGACCGCCCCTGACTGATCGGGGGGGGGTCTCGGAGGCGCAACCCCGAGCCTTGCCATTCCCCTCCCACCCCTCTGCCCCCCCCCACCCTCCCTCCTTCCCCCTCTGTCTCACGGGTTGTGTGACTCATCTGAGCATATGCTCTAATATTTCCATACCTGGCCAGAAGACCATAGCCTCAATACCATAGCCAGCCAGATCTTTCGTCTCTCCTTCTCCCTCCTCCCTCCCCTCCATCGGTCCCATGCATCCCTCCTCACTCTCCCTCCCTAAGGCGCAACGTAAGGAGAGGGCTGGCTCAGGAAGGAAACATTGGCCTTGACTCGGCGATACATCGCCGATGCTTCGGCGATAGGCTAGCGAATCCACACGCTCCTGGGCGGGGTGTGGCTGTCGGGCGTGGTCATCACTCGGGTCTCCAGCGGCCGTTCGGGACGATTCCAGCGCGCCAAGCACGCTCTCGACGAGGCGCAGTCGATGGAAATAACCCTGGGCCTCAAAAACTTTCGAACAAAAATCCCCCGCCCCAGTGTTGCCTCTGATGGACCCGATTGGGGGTCGCGTCCTCCTCCTCCTCCCCTCCTCCTCTCCTCCCTCCTCCTCCTCCTCCTCCTCCTCCTCCTCCTCCTCCTCCTCCTCCCCCTCCTCCTCCTCCCCCTCCTCCTCCCCTTCCTACTCCTCCTCCTCCTCCTCCTCCTCCTCGTCCTCCTCCTCCTCCTCCTCCTTCTCCTCCTCCTCACCCCCCGACGTTGCTTCTGACCTCCCACCTCTACTTCAACCGCGCAGGCTGCCGAGCGCACTCACCCGAAGCGTAAAAAACCTCCCTCCTCGCGCCTCCCCTCCCCAAGGCTCCTCCGGCGCCCCCGCGGCCGCCGCGCGGCGGAGCAGCGGCGCCGCCTCTCGGCCGGGGGGTCCCCAGGGCGGGGGCAAGGGGGAATCTTCTGTTGCATCTGCGGGGGGCCTTGTCTGTCCCGTCGCGCCTCTATCCGCGTCGAATCCGTGTCGTACCCACGTCGGGCCGGTCGAATCCGCGTCAGATCCATGTCGGGCTCGTCGAGTCCGCGTCGAACCCACGTCGAGACCACGGCAAAATCTGCATCGAGTCCACACCGAGCCCGCGTCGGGCACAAGAGAAGGCACCAATTTGGGGGACAGGCGAGGTGCACCGAAGGCAAGGAGTCCTCTCGAGGGCGCCAGCACTGAGAACAGGAGGTGGGGAAACCAAAAGGTACCGATACCGCTACTCCCCGGACCTCTCCCGGGGTGCGTTCTGACCAGAATTTCGAGGCGAATCCAGCGGTGGCGACGAGGGACTCCCAGGAGGCCCAAAAAGGGGAAAACGGGCGAAGGGTAGAGGTATGGGTACCTGTTCCACATCTGAGGAGAGATCGAGGGGTGGGGATCGTCGGCGGCGCGCCCAGGGGGCAAGACAGAGGGGGCCGGCATCCTCAAAGGCCCGAAAGGCCTGCCCCCTCTCGCGTCCCCCGCCCGTCGGCGCGCCGCCGACTCTCTCGAGAGCGCCAGCCCTGAGAGGAGCAAGGATTCGAGTAGGAGATCAAGAACAGAATTGATTTACCCCAAAATTTATCTGTTCGTCAAATCGCCGAAGGAATACGTAGCAGTCCGCGAACGTTTCATCATTCCCTTCCTAGAGGCGACGAAAAATCCATTTCGGGGTAAATCAGCCCTGTAGTTGATCCCCTACTCGAAGGATGGGGGCAAGCGATGCCCCCATCTCGCTGTGACAAAAGACTGCGGCGGGAGGTGCCGGGCAGTGGTCGGCCTCCGGGGGGCCTCGCCGGGCCCTGGGCCCGGGGGCCGTCCAGAGAAGACGGCTCGCGCTGACAAGCAAGCCAGTCCCGTGGCCCGTGGCCGGTGGCAGGGGCCTAGAGCTCTGGGGGGTTCCACGAGGAGCGGACGAGGAAGAGGGAGGAAGAGGGAGGAGGAGGAGGAGGAGGAGGAGGAGGAGGAGGAGGAGGAGGAGGAGGAGGAGGAGGAGGAGAAGAAGCACGGCGTCGGAGACCCGGGTGCCGAGGGAGGGGACCAGCTCAGGGGGGAGGGTGGGGGGCATCGAGCCGAGAAATCGGCGAGGCACATGGACGGGAGATCGGCGTCGAGCTCCCGGTTGCAGACCCGCTACGTTCCTGGGCGCGGTGTGGGCGCGGTGTGGGCGCTCAGGCCTCCATCGGCGGCGAGCGGCCGATGGTCGGGGGCGCGCAGACGTGGATTGGCGACCCATGGGTTTGGCGCGCGGTCGCCGAATCCATGGATCGGGGGGAGGTACCCTCCCCAAAATGCGGCCAGTGCCGCCTCGCTCGGCGGCGGCAATCCGCGGTTCCCCATGGAAATGGAACCCGTCGCTAATCCACGCACCCTTGATCCATGTTTGCGATCGCCTGAGATTGGGGGTCTGACCAAGAAAAAACACATCCCCAACCCTAAAATCGCGGATTCACAAAGGAGTCGAAGATCGGCCAAAGATTTCGGGGTATGTGTTGCGTTCGTCGTTGTCACCCTGGTAAAACCCTAAGCCCCAAAATCTCCCTCCCCGAAGTCTCGACGAGCCTGCGTTCTGTCTTGGCCCTCGCGTTTTTGGGATTGGGCGTCTGTTTTGCGTTTGTGAGGGTCGATGCATCCGCCCTGGCCGGTCCCCTCCCCCGTTCTAGGGGGCACCGCTGCGGTTTTACACCAAACATGACGTCGCTGCGCACACCCTCTGCGTGTCGACTGGCGTCGCTACGCACGCCCTCTGTTTTGCTGCGACCATTTTGGGAATATGTAGATATGTACATCATTATCTGTATTATTGACTATATACATGTGTATACAATAACACTGATAAGAAGAAGATGAATGATTTCTCTTGTTTCATATTTTCCAAAATAACAAATGATTTGTTAGTTGTTTCCTTCTTTTTTCAAATATTACAACAAAAAACAAACGACACAAAAAACAAAAAAAACAAAAACGAACAAAAAAAACGTTGCCCCAAGGTTTTCGGGTCACAATCTGGTTCTCCGGCGGGCGCTCCAAAAGCCGCCGAGAATCGACGAAGGCGACCGCAAGCTCCGAACCCAGAACCTCGATTGCCTGGTGCCTGGCCCCAGAAGAGACGAAGGGGGCCAGGCACCGGGTGCGCCGAAAATTGGAGGACCAGGCAGAAAAAAGGGGGCCGCGCATCGTCGTGGCCCGCGGCACGTGCGCGCACGAGGGAAGGAAGGGCCACGGGCCGCGCTGGAGGAAGAGGAGCTGACGGAGCCGAAGCGCGCAGAACCCCACCCCTACCCCCCACGATTTCTGAGGGGGAGGGTGGGGTTCACTTCGCTCGGGAGCTCCCGAACGGAGTGAACCCCACCCTCCCCCTCAGAAATCGTGGGGGGTAGGGGTAGGGCTCGCATGTGGCGCCCTAGCAGAAGTCGTGCCGCGGTGAACACGACGAGCCCCGCTCGAGGCATGAACTCTCTGGCACCGGGCAGGGGCTCGTCGCCTGGCGACTCGCTGCCACGCCGACGGGACCCCGGCAAGCCCACTGTTCGGTTGAAAAAAGAAGAGGGGGGCCACGAAATCTGGGAGATGTCGTGGCCCCAGCCATGATATCCACACCCCCATCAGTCTTCACCCCGAAGGGTAGCACAATGCTTGTAACTTGGATTTTGTGGTAACGGGTTGCACATAATAGTTCGACCGAAACTCAGACTAAGTTTGTCTAAAATTCGCCGAGGAAGTTCGGAAAAAGTTTAAACAAGTCAAAACCAGCAGGGCCAACTCTGGCCTCCCCTCAGCCTCGCCGTCGTGGCGCTCATTCCCCAGGACAACCGACGCGTGCCAAAAACATTCACGTGTGCACTGAGGTGGGTGGAGAAGCTGGCCGACTTGGCGACAAACTCGCGTCTGCCCTCTTCTGCGAGCAACTAGAACGGGCGCGAGGCTGTCGCCAAATCGGCGAGCTTCTCCGCAACAGTGCAAAAAACTAAACTCGATGGCGCGCGTCGGGGGGCAGAACCGCCGAAAGATCGTTCGAAGACGCTCAAAATGGCCTCCAGCTGGCCCATGAGGCTTCGAAGACGCCACAAGACGCCTTCAAGAGCACTCCCAAAGAGGGCCCCAAGAGGCAAAAATCCATGATTTTCCGCTGGTGCTTGAATGACTTTGGCGTTCTCGCCTTATCGGCTTCCCGACGCTCCAAGACGGTCTAAGAGACCCCCAATATCGCCCAAGGACAGCCGAAGAGGCCCCCAAGAGAGCCCCCAAGCGGCCCAAGAGGGCCCCAAGACGGCCCAAGAGGTCCCCAAGACGGCTCCAAGAGGGGGCACAGACAGGGAACCCGAACGGACACATTTCGAGCCCTCGGCCCCGAGAGGCCCCCAGAAGGCCCCGAGAGGCTCCCAAGAGACCCCCGAGAGGCCCCCGAGGCGCCCCAAGAGGCACCCAAGATCTGCTTGACATCAGACAACACACACAGGAGGGAAAAAAGCTGGAAGATCCGACTAGTCCTTGGGGTCAAAACTCGACCATGGCCCGATGTCGACTGTAACACCATCGAGCCTGGGGTGAACACCGGGGGCTATGCGATTCCAAGGAGTGCAGTCTGCTCTGGGCCCGCGTTCAGGGGAGAGGGCGGCATGCTCTGCGGAGATACCGCATCGGTCCGCCGCTTGCGTAACATGTGTTGCGGCGGCACACAAAAATAAAAAAGTTGTCGCTGGCGTCCACAAAAGAAAGCTGTGTTATGGCCGAACTCCAGAAATCTCGGGCCAGCGAACCCGCAGATCCAGACCCCAGGGGCTCCCTAGACCCTAGGAGGAGGTTGCAAGACGGCCCTGCAGCACCGGAAACAACGCTCACATTGCCAAAACCTGCCTTGCATACTCCAAACATGGCCATCAGGCCGCGGCTTGGATGAGCGCCGTGAAATACTCGGCAGACGACAGATCTAGACGCGGCCAAAGAGGAAGCCACTTGCCCGCCAATTCGCAGACAAGCTTCGACATTCACACATGGCGTGAAAGTGTGTCGGCTTCCTCGGCCCAAGACGCTGGACGGCGGGACGCTGCCCTCTTGGCCAACAGGTCGGCGGCGTCGTCGTTATCGAGATTCCGGTATATTATAATCAACCCGTAGAATAGGGATGCGCGGTAAAGATGCGAGGGCCTAAGAGGGCCATGGTAACGTTTTTCGGGCGAGGCTGGCCAGCGAGAATTACCAAGGATGGGCCGAAGGGGCAAGTATGCAAGGGTGGCCTTGGAAAGCCGCTCATCCTTACTATGAGGGTTGACTGCAACTCATCGGACATATCGGGGTTCTCGAAAGGTGACCTTTGACTTCCGTGGCCGAAACCAGCCCCGTGGGTTGAAGGGCTAAAAAGCTGCCGCTGTCGGGCCGTGTGTAAGAGAGCTGCTCATTCCTAGTCAGAACAGGCTGTCTACCAAAGTTCGAGCAATCCGAAAAACCTCTGGAATCTGGAATAGCAAACGGCACAGCCGCGCGGATGGCCAGGAGCTCCGCAGCCAGAGGGATCTGGGGATCTGGCGCCCGTTCCCGGGCACTCGCGTGGCATACTACATTACGGTCGGGATCGTAGCATACAAACCCCCCTACAGGGCAGTTTTGAATACATGGGATGTTTAAACATATAGGATTTGTAATACATGGTTAATGTATGAATAAATGTATGCATGAACTCATCGCTGTTTTTTTATACTAAATCCCTGCATTTTTACTACATGATCCGCGCGCGGAGCATGTATTAGAAACGGTACTGTATCCCAATCTGGGCAACTCTGGAACCACATTGAGGAAGCAACCTCCATCGAAGCGGCAATCGCCTTTCGCCTCGCCGCCCGTGAAGTCCCCACGCCCCGGCCAGACAGCGCGGAACGCACCTTCGGACAAAGACAGCGGGCAGCGATCCCCTGGATGCTCGAAAACGCCTCGGGTCAACAGCGACTGCTCAGAAGTGTCGTGGAAGCTGATATTGCTGAGGTCATGGCGGTCATCTTCCAGCTTCGAAAGAACCTCTTCGCGCCCATCATCGCACGAAAGACCTACAAGCATCATGTGGACCACGGATGCACGGGTCACTGAGGGTGTCGGCCTGCTGGCACCCCATCTCTGAGGCGATCTCGTTGGTCCAATGCCCCACAGCACATTGCATTGATGCACCTCTTTGCAGAGGTGCGAATCGCTTAGAACTTAACTGACCCCGCACCTGGCCGTAACAACGCCGACGAGCGCCAGGAAGCAGACTGTCAACGCTGGCCTTCTCCAGCGTGCGAAGAACAGCGGCGCGCAGCGATCGCTTGACAAACGCCGTGCTGCACAGGGACATCTGGATGACGCCTCCGAAATCGTCCACCAGCTCAGTGAAGGATCTCATACACTAGCCGATCCTCTGAAGCGACATCTCCATCGCAGAAGTCGATCCCGAAAACCCGACGCCAGGGCAG